GGGGGGGGGTCCCTTTTTCACCCCCTCCTCACTGCCCATCCCCCAGCGGAGCCTGAGGCTACAAACCCAAGGTGAGCCCCTCCCCCTCCCCAAAATCTGGAGGGGACCCCCAAAACAGGGGGGAGAGCCCCCTCCCCATTGGTGACCCCCCCCCAAATTCCAGTTTGAGAAGCTGAAGCGGGAGCTGGAGCGGCGCTTCCCGGGAGCCCTGGACGTGGTGGGTCTGGGGTCCCCAAATTTGGGGGGGTCGGGGCTGATTTGGGTCTGGGGTCCCCAAATTTGGGGGGTCGGGGCTGATTTGGGTCTGGGGTCCCCAAATTTGGGGGGTCGGGGTCCCCAAATTTGTGGGGTCGGGGCTGAATTGGGTCTGAGACACCCCAAATTTGGGGGGGGTCGGGGCTGAATTGGGTCTGGGGTCCCCAAATTTGTGGGGTCGGGGCTGAATTGGGTCTGAGACACCCCAAATTTGGGGGGGGTCGGGGCTGAATTGGGTCTGGGGTCCCCAAATTTGTGGGGTCGGGGCTGAATTGGGTCTGAGACACCCCAAATTTGGGGGGGGTCGGGGCTGAATTGGGTCTGGGGTCCCCAAATTTGTGGGGTCGGGGCTGAATTGGGTCTGAGACACCCCAAATTTGGGGGGGGTCGGGGCTGAATTGGGTCTGGGGTCCCCAAATTTGTGGGGTCGGGGCTGAATTGGGTCTGAGACACCCCAAATTTGGGGGGGGTCGGGGCTGAATTGGGTCTGGGGTCCCCAAATTTGTGGGGTCGGGGCTGAATTGGGTCTGAGACACCCCAAATTTGGGGGGGGTCGGGGCTGAATTGGGTCTGGGGTCCCCAAATTTGTGGGGTCGGGGCTGAATTGGGTCTGAGACACCCCAAATTTGGGGGGGGTCGGGGCTGAATTGGGTCTGGGGTCCCCAAATTTGTGGGGTCGGGGCTGAATTGGGTCTGAGACACCCCAAATTTGGGGGGGGTCGGGGCTGAATTGGGTCTGGGGTCCCCAAATTTGTGGGGTCGGGGCTGAATTGGGTCTGAGACACCCCAAATTTGGGGGGGGTCGGGGCTGAATTGGGTCTGGGGTCCCCAAATTTGTGGGGTCGGGGCTGAATTGGGTCTGAGACACCCCAAATTTGGGGGGGGTCGGGGCTGAATTGGGTCTGGGGTCCCCAAATTTGTGGGGTCGGGGCTGAATTGGGTCTGAGACACCCCAAATTTGGGGGGGGTCGGGGCTGAATTGGGTCTGGGGTCCCCAAATTTGGGGATGTTCCTGTGATTTGGGGGAGCTGTGGGATTTGGGGAGGGAGGAAGGTTTGGGGTGGGATTTGCAGGATTTGGGGTGAATTCAGAGGATTATATCAATGAATATCGCGATATAGCGCCAGATATCGGTGGATATATCGCGATACGGCACGATAGATCAGGAGCCGTCGCGATATATTGGGAAATATCAATGAATATCGCGATATAGCGCCAGATATCGGTGGATATATCGCGATACGGCACGATAGATCAGGAGCCGTCGCGATATATTGGGAAATATCAATGAATATCGCGATATAGCGCCAGATATCGGTGGATATATCGCGATACGGCACGATAGATCAGGAGCCGTCGCGATATATTGGGAAATATCAATGAATATCGCGATATAGCGCCAGATATCGGTGGATATATCGCGATACGGCACGACAGATCAGGAGACGTCGCGATATATTGGGAAAGATCAATGAATATCGCGATATAGCGCCAGATATCGGTGGATATATCGCGATACGGCACGACAGATCAGGAGACGTCGCGATATATTGGGAAAGATCAATGAATATCGCGATATAGCGCCAGATACCGGCGGATATATCGCGATATATCGGGAGATACTGATGGATGTTGCCGTGTATCGGGAGATATCCCCGGATATCGCGATATATAGGGAGATATTGGAAGATACCAGGAGATATCGCGAGATATCAGGAAATATCGCGAGATATCGCCGGGTATCTGTTGCTATCGGGACGTGTCGCGACAGCGCTGCCCCCCCCAGCCCCCGCCCCCCCCGCGCTCCATGACGGGAATCGCCGAAACGCCGCCGGCACCGGGCGCTGCCCTGACCCCGCGCGGGGGGGCCCGGGGGCTGGGGGGGCAGAGCCCACCCTGAATCCCCAAATCCCACCCAAAACACCTCAAATCCCACCCAAAATCCCACCCAAAATCCCCTGAGCCCACCCTGAATCCCCAAATCCCACCCAAAATCCCCTGAGCCCACCCAAAATCCCTCAAATCCCACCCAAAATCCCTCAAATCCCACCCAAAATCCTTCAAATCCCACCCAAAATCCTTCAAATCCCACCCAAAATCCCTTCATTCCACCCTGAATCCCCAAATCCCACCCAAAATCCCCTGAGCCCACCCTAAATCCTTAAAAACCCACCAAAAATCCCACCCAAAATCCCATGAGCCCACCCTAAATCCCTCAAATCCCACCCAAAATCCCACCCTAAATCCCTTCATTCCACCCTAAATCCCTCAAATCCCCCCCTAAACCCCGCAGATCCCACCCTAAATCCTCAAATTTCACCCAAAACCCTCAAACCCCACCCAAAACCCCTCCAATTTCACCCCAAATTCCACCCTAAATATTTCATTCCGCCCCAAATCCTTTCAATCCCACCCGAAATCTTTTTCTTCCCCCTCCTAAAATTCCTGTTTTACCCCCAAATCCTTCCCCCGAGCTGCCTTCGCCGATGCCGTTTTGAGCCAAAATCGGCTTTTTTTGGCATTTTCCTCCCACGGAGCACTCCCTGACAGGCTGAAAAACGGGGAAAAAACTCTTTTAAACCACTGAAAAGTCCGAATTATTTTGTTATCCCCTCATTTATTAATTCTCCAACCCCCACTCCGTGACCTTTTGGGAATAAAATATCGGAAATTTGAGCCAGCTTTGGGTGGGTTTGGGGCTTTTTTTTTTGGTTTTAAGCGATTTTAGGGGAGCTGAGGGAGGAGGGATGGGGGCTGTGCTCTTCAAAATTCCATTTTCTTGCTTAATCCTGAAAAGCAGCGTCGTGGAATTGTGAAATGATTCATTTTGGGAATAAAAGGATGGAAAATCGAGCTGGATTTGGGATGGGGTTTTGGGTTGTTTCAGGGGTTTTTTGGGATCGACACACTTTGAGCTCTTCAAAGTTTCATCTGCTTACTTAACCCTAAAAAAAAAAGTAATGAGATAATGGGACTGCTCCTCTTGGGAATAAAAAATGGAAAAGCAAGAAGGTTTTGGTTGGTTTTGTGGGGTTTTTTTGGGTTGGTTTTGTAGGTTTTTTTTAGTTGGTTTTGTGGGTTTTTTTTTGGGATCCTACTGGGTTTTTCATGGGAAAAGAGCAATGACAGAGGTGATGCCTCGCTCCGAGCTGTCCCAAATTCCATCCTCTATCTTAAACCCCAAAACCCAACATCCCAGATCTGGGAAATTATGGAAATTACTGGAATTATGAAATTGTGGAATTTTGAGGCGGAAAAGCCCCTGAATCCCCTCAGGCCCCTCACGGTGCCCAAGATGGCGGCGCGGCCTCACTCCAAGCTCTCCCAAACCCCTGTCCTTTATCTTAACACTTTGAGCTCTTCAAAGTTTCATCTGCTTACTTAACCCTAAAAAAAAAGTAATGAGATAATGGGACTGCTCCTCTTGGGAATAAAAAATGGAAAAGCAAGAAGGTTTTGGTTGGTTTTGTGGGGTTTTTTTGGGTTGGTTTTGTAGGTTTTTTTTAGTTGGTTTTGTGGGTTTTTTTTTGGGATCCTACTGGGTTTTTCATGGGAAAAGAGCAATGACAGAGGTGATGCCTCGCTCCGAGCTGTCCCAAATTCCATCCTCTTATCTTAAACCCCAAAACCCAACATCCCAGATCTGGGAAATTATGGAAATTACTGGAATTATGAAATTGTGGAATTTTGAAAAGCCCCTGAATTCCCTCAGGCCCCTCACGGTGCCCAAGATGGCGGCGCGGCCTCACTCCGAGCTCTCCCAAACCCCTGTCCTTTATCTTAAACCCCCAAAACCGAACACCCCGGATTTGGGAAATTACAGGAATTATGAAATGATGGAATTATGGAATTCTGAGATGAAAAAAGCCTCCAGATCTCCTCAGGCCCCATGGGCACCTCATGGCGCCCAAGATGGCGGCACGGCCTCGCTCTGAGCTCTCCCAAACTCCATCCTCTATCTTAAACCCTCAAACCCAACATCTCAGAGTTTGGAAATTACGGGAGTTATGAAATTACGGAGTTTTGAGGCGGAAAAAGCCCCCGGATCCCCTCGGGCCCCTCAGGCCCCTCACGGCGGCCAAGATGGCGGCGCGGCCTCACCTCAGCCGACCCCCCCCCGTTCCCGCCCCGCCGCGCGCGGGGCACGACGGGAACCGCCCTCAGCCGGGACCCGCCATTTTCTGCCGGGAAAGGCGGGAAGGGGGAGATCGAAGCCGCCGCAGCTGCACCGCGGGACCCGCACGGCTCCAGCGCCGCCGCCAGCGCCGCTCGCAGGTACCGGGAGCGCGGCGGCGGGCGGGGGTCGGTACCGGGGAGTGGTTTTAAATTATACTCTATCTGTTACTGCATCTTTTTTTCTTATAAGATGTTCACTGTCTCAAGCTGTCAGTTAGTTTGGCAGAAGATATTTTTCATGTCTGATCTTTTCAATGACTTTATCATTTACCTTCAACCTCTCACAAAGGTCTTTGGAGTAGTCACAGTTAAACATGCTTAGGATTTCTTAGAGTTCAGGAGAGAGAAGACAAGTAGCAGAATTAAAACAGCAATGAGAAATCAATATTACAGTGCTGGTCTCCTGAAGATCTATGGACCAGGGAATCAGGAATTCTCTGAGGTGCTGTGCAAACACTGCACTCCCTCTACACACGTGCTCTGCCCTGTAGCTTCCTCAAAGAGCTGGGTGGGAAACAAAGCCAGAAGGTCATGTTCTCCTGTCTTGCAGGCGTGAAGGCATTCATCACAGGGCCAGGGCTTTGTGTTGTTTCAGCACTTCATCACATTTCATTTCTTTCCCTGTCTCTCCTACCTGTGTGTGTGGTCAGAAATGTTTGGAAAAAAATGTAGCTTCTGCTTTCTGACTCTTGTCCTTAAGCATGGCAGATGGCAGCTCAGTTTCAGAGCATGCTCTAGCAGACTTTGATTAAAAGTTAGCAAGCATGGGTGTTCAGGCTTTGCTTCCAGTCGTTTGGCAGTTCCCCATTGTTAATTGTTGCTGTTTTCACTAAAGTCCTTTTGCTGAATCAGCCAAAGCAAATTCCACAGTGACAGACTTACAAGGGGAGAATATAGCTTTAAATAGAAAATAGTAGGATCCTGGTATGTATCACAGATAATTTAACATCTGTTCATGTATTTTATCTGTGGTACTTACCTTTTGTTAACAAAAGCCTTAGTTTTTGAGGCAAATAATTGCATCATCATGGGAAAATAATGTCTTCAGTATACTTTACTCCTAGTCCAGTTCCTGTTTCTTTAGAAGCACCCTGTGACACCCCATATAACTTATTTTTTGGATGGTTATAAGATAGTGCTGACAGCCTTCTGAGAGCCCTCCTTCAAGCTCTGCATAGTGGTAGCTGATAATTTTGTGAAAATAAAAGGGACACTGGGGGGGACTGGGGGGGAATGGGATGGGAATTGGGGACACTGGGGGGGACTGGGGACACTGGGATGGGACTGGGGACACTGGGGGGACCGGGGACACTGGGATGGGAACTGGGGACACTGGGGGGGACTGGGGGGGAATGGGATGGGAATTGGGGACACTGGGGGGGACTGGGGACACTGGGGGGGACTGGGAGTGACTCAGGGGACTGGGTGGGACTGGGGACGCTGGGGGATAATGGGCCAGGGAGGGGACACAGGTGTGGCACAGGTGGGTGACAGGGACACTGGGATGGATGACAGGGACAGGGAGGGGACACTTGGGGGTGACACAGGTGGGTGGCAGGGACATGGGGGTGACACAGGTGAGGCACAGGTGGGTGACACAGGGACACAGGTGGGTGGCAGGGACACAGAGAGGACACAGGTGAGCACAGGTGGGTGACACAGGGACACGGGGGTGACACAGGTGGGTGGCAGGGACACAGAGGGGACACAGGTGGGGGTCAGCCCCCCCGGCGGCCGTGCCACACGCGTGTGTCACCTGTCCCCAGCCCCGGCACGGTGGCGCTGCGCGAGATCCGGCGCTACCAGAAATCCACGGAGCTGCTGATCCGGAAGCTTCCGTTCCAGCGGCTGGTCAGGGAGATCGCGCAGGACTTCAAAACAGACCTGCGCTTCCAGAGCGCCGCCATCGGGGCCCTGCAGGTGAGGGACACACCTGGGCACACACCTGTGTCTCACCTGTGTCACACCTGTGTCACCCGTGTCTCACCTGTGTCACACCTTTGTCACCTTGTCTCACCTGTGTCACACCTGTGTCACACCTGCGTCTCACCTGAGTCACACCTGTGCAGGAGGCCAGCAAGGTGTACCCTGGTGGGACTCAGGGGGGTGGCAGGTGACCCCATAGGTGTCTCACCTGTCCCTCACCTGTCTCACCTGTCCCCAGGAGCTCAGCAAGGCATACCTGGTGGGGCTGTTCAATGACACAGGGGGGTGACACAGGAGTGACAGAGGGAAAGGTGACTCCGTGGCTGTCACACACGTGTCACACCTGTCTCACCTGTCCCTCACCTGTCCCAGGAGGCCAGCGAGGCGTACCTGGTGGGGCTGTTCGAGGACACAGGGGGGTGACAGGTGACCCCGTGTGTGTCACATGTGTCGCACCTGTGTCTAACCTGTGTCTCACCTGTGTCACACCTGTCCCAGGAGGCCAGCGAGGCGTACCTGGTGGGGCTGTTCGAGGACACAGGGGGGTGACAGGTGACCCCGTGTGTGTCACACGTGTCACACCTGTGTCTCACCTGTGTCACACCTGTCCCTTACCTATGTCACCTGTCCCAGGAGGCCAGCGAGGC